ATCTTATGCTCATTTGTGAACTGGGCTGTTTTGTCTCTTCGTTCTTACACAGTAGTTTTAAAACAGAGGACCAAGGAAATCGGTTCCACATTCCTGGTGGTTCTGACAGCTGTGCGGAGGATGAATGGGCACCAGGAGACCAGTTCCGAGGTCAAGGTAACAACCCACGGGGAGGGGATGTGGGCCTGGGCTTGAGGGAAAACAAAGAATATTTCAAGTTCAAACGATACTAGAGGAGAGGGCTTCTGGCCTGATGGAGTGAGGAGGTCAACAAATCCTCTCCTCAAAAAGCAGCTATAACCCTGGGCAACTGAAGGCGAGGAACACATTTAGTTCCAGTGAGAGGAGCTGGAGTCGGTGGCCTCTCCGCCCAGAGTGGCTCTCATTCCCCCTGCCCCCACGGTCTTCCAGCAGCCAGTTTGACCGCGGAGGGGCAGATAGGCCACAAAGCCAACAACTGCCCTGCAGTTGCCAGAGGGACCCATGTGACTTGGAACGCTGTCAGCTAAATGTGGCAATCTCAGTGGCAAGTAAACAGGGAGAGTCAGTAGCTCCTTCAGCCCGAGCAAACCACCAGTCAGCTAGCCAGGGATTTAAATAAGGAGGCAGGGAAGGTTGGGGAGGTAAGCTAACCACAGGCAGCTTAATAAACCCCCTGCATAGCCTTGCTTGCCCTGAAGCCGAGCACATGCCCCCAGCAGAGACAGTCTGGTATTGGGTGAAGGCCGGCCACAGAGATCAATGGAGCAGACTGAGTCTAGAAACAAAACCTTACACTATGGTCAAGTGGTTTCCACCAAGGGAGCCAAGACACTCCAGTGAGGCAAGGATACTCTTACCAGCAAATGGTGCCGCAACTGGACATCCACATGCCAAACAATACAGTTGGACCCCAACCTCACGCCATATACAGATTATCTCAAAATGGAAGACCAAAGACCTAAACGTACAAGCTGAAACTATAACTTCTGGGAGATGTAGGAAAAAAAATCTCCACGAACATGATTATTCTTGAACATCAAACCATGATTCATTCATAAGCAAAAAAATTGATAAACTGATCTTTATATAGAAATTAATGTTCAATGAGAGACTCCTAACTCTGGGAAACAAACAAGGGGTGGTGGAAAGGGAGGTAGGCAGGGGCGTGGGTGTGACTGGGTGACGGGCACTGTGGGGGGCACTTGATGGGATGAGCGCTGGGTGTTATGCTATATGTTGGCAAATTGAACTTCAATAAAAAAAAAGAAATTAATGTTCAACAAACAACACTAATAAAAGTAAAAGACAGTCACAGGCTGGGAGAAAATATTTTTAGAATCATATACCTGATAAAGGACTTGTATCCAGATTATAAAAGGAACTCGTCAAAGCAAAAAAAAAAATTTTTTACTGAGCAGAAACTCTGAACAGACTTCACCAAAGAATATAAAATAAGAATATAAAAAGATGTTTGACATCACTTCTCACTAGAAAAATACAAGTGAAAAAACAATGAGATACCCCTAACCTACCTATTAAAATGACAAATCCAAAAGAGTGGACAATTCCAATTGCTGATGAGGATGTGGAGCGACAGGAACTTTCGTTCATTGTTCACGGGAAGGCAAAATGGTGCCACCACTTTAGAAGCCAGCTGCGCACTTTATCACCAAGTTAAACACAGACTTAGCATATGACCCAGCAATCACACACACAGTTCTAAGTGAACTGAAAACTTACATCCACACAAAAACCTGTAAGTAAGTATCCAGGGACCCCTGGGTGGCTCAGTGGTTGAGCGTCTGCCTTTGGCCCAGGGTGTGATCCCAGGATCTGGGATCAAGTCCCACATCAGGCTCCCCGCAGGGAGCCTGCTTCTCCCTCTTCCTGTGTCTCTGCCTCTGTCTCTCATGAATAAATAAATAAAATCATACAAAAAATAATAGTAAGTGTCCAAAAACGTTTATAGCAGCCTTATGCATAATCGTTGAAAACTGGATACAACCAAGAGGGCCTTCAACAGGCAAAGAGCAAACCAAAAGTGCTCCAGCCAGACAACGGAATGGTATTCAATGCTAAAAAGAAATACTCTCGGGCCATGAAAATACATGGAAGAACCTTCAATGCATATTGCTAAGTGAAAGAAATACATCTGCAAAGGCTACACGCTTCATGATTCCAATTACAGAACATTCTAGAAAAGGCAAAAATCTGCAGGAGGTAAAAAGATTTAGTGGTTGCATGGACAGAACACCAATTAGGGGCAAGGGAGGGAAAGTGGCTGAGCACCAGAGGGATGTAGAGAAGAACGTTTATGGTGGTAAGACAGTTGCATACGGCACTTGGGGGCTGGACATGTGACTATATGCATTTGGAAAACCCCACACTACAGTCGGAGGGTTAAGTACGGACTCAGGTTTAGGTTAGTATAAATGCTGATACAGAGTTATGGAGGCACGTGGATACCTGGTTTCGTATACATCCATATACTAATGGCCTCCACCCACTTAAAGGGTATAGAAGTAGTGACATCCCACTAAGTGATGAACACACTCGACCCTCAGATCTTTGTTTCTAACATCAACCCCTTCTGGCGAGGAAGAGAACGGTGTACTGAACGGGACACCCAAGGAAACATTCACAAACATTCCCAGCAGGCAACGGCGTTTAAGAAGGAGTGAATGGGGGACAGTGGGAGGGTGCCAGGGGAGCTGGGAGGAAAGGCTGTGAAGTGGCAGGTGGCTGGACACCCAGAGGAGACGAAACGGATGGACCTCAAGTTTCTCAGTGAGAGTGCTAGGGCATGGAGGTGGCTGGCGGGGCCCATTAACAAGAGACTGTCACTGTCACCCACCCTACTGGCCTCCTGAAAAGGACAGTAGAAATATCTTAAGCAAAAAACCAAAAAACCATATATAACAGATAACATAGCATTTCAAACACAAAGTCCAAAACTATAGTTGAGCCTCATCCATGTGCCTAAGGCCCAAAGTTGGAAACTACATCGACAAGGATCGGGTTTTATGCTGAAGACCATCGTGTATTGAAATGTGTTTTATCATCTTCACTCGTGGCATGAGCATGTCTGCAGAGAGGGGAATGTCTGAGAATTTCCTCGTGTGCTCATCCAGACCACATTTCAGGCTCACACTCATATTTTGTGCCGGGACCCCCTTTATTTTCGCTTACAATGACAGAGGGTATAACTTAAAGCTAACAATTGATTATTCTTTATAAGAGAAGTTCAAGTGTGAGCCTAATTAAAGAATTTCCCAGCGCTTTTTTCCTTGCTAAAACATGTACTGTTAATAAGGAAGCCCCCGACGTGCCATTCAGACTTCCATCCGTGCACGCTCCCGCACGCTACCGCTGCCCGCATCTCACCATCTGGAAATACCATTTGTCACCCAGGAGTAATTGGCCAATTTGCTGGGTTTGCCCTTTAAATCTTCCATGTTCTCCTGACACCTGTGAGTTTCATTTAGTGGCTTTTAGAACTCTGTACTCAAGAAGACATCGTCTGGAAAGGTGTCTTGAAGGACAGATGTGACTGCGGGCTCCTTTAATCGGATGGGAACACTGTTCCTCAGGAAAGGCACATGGGCCGTGCAAGAAGGCAGCAGATGCTAACGCCACAGCCAGGACGACGGGGAGGGTGGCAGGGTTACAAGCAGACACACTCCTAACTCGTTCGTGCGTGACCACAGCAAGTCACCACCACAACCTGCCAACACAACAGGCTGCCATCACGACGGTCGCAACCATAACAACCTAGCGTCATAACTACAAGTCACAACCACAACATACCATCAAAACAGGCAACCACCACACGTAACGATCACAAAGTCCAATCAAAACTTCTTTTGCCACATCAAAGCTGGCTGCTTCTCTCGACGGTAGGTTGGATCTTGATGAGTATAAGAATTAAAGCTTTAAGTCCTTGGTGGTTTGGGCGGGGGAGGCCATGACTAAGAAAGGCTAGCAGGAGGGGGTTTCCTTGTGGTGATGGAAGAGTTCAGTGTTCTGCATCCTGAGTGATCATGGTCGCTGAGATCTACACATGTGACACAATTTCACAGACCCACGTGTGCATGCATGCACACACACGACAACATGCAAAAGCTGATGCAATCTGAATCAGGGCTGTATGTGACTTAATAACAGTTTGGACCAATGGCAGCTTCCTGGCTTTGACACCAAACGACACTTCCGTAAGGTCAGCGAGAACCTTCAGGGGACACTGGGTGAAGAGTACACACAAATTCTCCTGAACGATTTTTATAACTTCTTAGGAGTTTTAGACTAATTTTTTAAAAAAGATTTTTAAGTAATCTCTACTCCCAAGGTGGGGCTCAAACTCACAACTCTGAGGTCAAGAGTCACACGCTCTACAGACTGAGCCAGCCAGGTGCCCTGAGTTTTAAACGATTTTAAACTAAAAAGATATTTTGAGGGATCCCTGGGTGGCGCAGCAGTTTGGCGCCTGCCTTTGGCCCAGGGCACGATCCTGGAGACCCGGGATCGAATCCCACGTCGGGCTCCCGGTGCATGGAGCCTGCTTCTCTCTCTGCCTCTCTCTCTCTCGCTCTCTGTGTGACTATCATAAATAAATAAAAATTAAAAAAAAAAAGATATTTTGAAAGATGTCGGGCTCACTACGGGTCTCCTAAGAAAATGCTTGCTCTGCCCAAGTCGAGGGGGCAGGAGTTGTTCGCAGTCACGCATGCTGCCCAGGCACTTGGCTCTGGCTCGGGATGGAGACATCAACCAAGCAGCACCTGGCCTTCGGAGCACTGGGAGGAATGTGTGGCTTTTCCAAATTGGCTTCTAAATCCCCACTTTGAGCTGCACAGCCCACAGGATTCCAAGTGAGCCTTCCAAGCTGTAAGCAGGATGTCTGGAAACGACCTCTTGCACCCCAGAGGCTGAGTAAGAACGGCTCAATCAATCTGGTCGCCATGTAATCACATTTGTAATGAGATTAAGGTGTTTACACAAATCAGTGCTCCTAATTTTACCTTTGTCAGGTTTGTATTCACCACCACCTAATATGTCTTCAAGATCCTTGTCTGAGAAACCTGGAGAAAACAAAATATACATGTCAATACCAAAATGCACTTTTCAGGCCATAATCTTGTGTTAATGTGGCCCAACGTCCCCAGAAACTGCCTGCCAGCGAGGCACGTCCTGATGACTACAGAAGGCAAAATTCTAACAGGGCCCTAGGACTCCCTCCCACTAGAGCACCTTGTAGAAGATTCCATCACGCAGTGTGTGACCGGGACCTCAAACAAGGTGGCCACCCCTGCTGCGGTTCGGTTATATTAAGTGCCAAGGTGAAGAGATTCTGCGGGTGTAATTTGGATCCCAAGTCAGTCTGCCTTTGCCTGAATCAAAAAGGAGATTATCCTGGGTAGGCCTGACTCAGGCAGGCAAGCAGGCTGAGGCCTCCCTGAGCTCAGATTCGAGAAGCAGGTTAGTCTTCCTCCCCCGGCTCTCCCCCCAGCCCGGTCTCTCTCCTGCTGGTCTTGAAAAAGCAAGTGGCCATCAGCTCTGTGACTGGAAGGAAAGGGACCCCGCCAGCCAGCCCAGGGACTTGGAAGAGAACGCAAGCTCAGAGACCAAGGCTGGCTGACATCCCCAAGAACAGACAACTTGGCTTAGCTGTTCCTGACCTCCTCGCTCAGCAAAGGAACCTGTGAGTTAATGAACGGACGCTGTCGTAACTCGCCGAGCTTGGGATCATTTGTTAGGCGGCAACAGGAAAGTGATACAGGGAAAGGAAAACATCGGATTCTGGCTTAAGCACAGAGGACTCGACTTTCCTGCTCCGTGTGAGCACATGCCAAGTAGGCGGAAAGCGTTTCTGAGTCAACTGCCCTAAGCTGGAGCGCCCTTGAGTGCCTGCTTCAGTTCTGGGCTGCATCAGCTGCTTTGCGCCACGGAAGACCACTTTTCCTAGAAAGAATGACGGATGGTCAAGCTAGCATTAGGGCGGCTTGAATATTTGGCAGGCGTTTTCTTGAAAATGAATGAAATGAGGCCGTCACTTCGAAGGAAACCATTGGCCGGATCTGTTGCCAATGGTAAGATTTCAAACAAAACTTAGAATTTTGAAAGAATCTACATCCACCACTGTGAGCTTGGCAGCCTTCCAGTGCTTGAGGACTTTATCTTAGGAGATGGGGGGGTGACATTAACAGACGTGACTTTGGGGTGCTGTGTAATAAAACGTGGCATGATTTGGAAGTTCAAAAGATCTCAGGACACCAATATTTCCAAATGACCAATGCACAGAATATATAAATTCGTGAATGGGTAAAAGCTGCATTGCAAGTCCAAGAGCATCCTAAGGGTTAAATGGAATCAAGTATGAAAAGTGAACTGATACGGCTTCACAGTCCACACTGCACTGAGACAGCAGGACACCGCTGCCACTGGTCCAGTTTGGGGGTCTTAATAAAGAAGAATATCTACAATGATCTAAAAAGTCCATTAAAATATTCCTCCCTTTTTCAACTGCATATATATCGCCTGATTTCCTTCATACTCTTCAGCCATAACACCACATTACAACCGAATCCAGAAATGGAGTGAGTCGAGCTCTTCTGCTTAGACGTTATACATTTTGTTCTCATATTGCCAGACAGTTATTTTTCTACCAAAAACACACTACTTCTGTTAACATGTATGGGTTTTTGTTCATTTTAAATGAATAAGCACTTTTTTTTAAGTTTTCAGTTCAAAGATGATACTGGTAGATATGATCCACGGAAACAAAAGCCTTTGAAATCCCCAGTGATTTGGGGAGGCCGGAGACCCAAAATGTTTGTGAACTACTACAGAGGGTTCTCCTATGCCTTGACATGCTCCTGGCTCTGCCGGGCCTAGGGGGCTCTTCGGGCTGTTGTAGTCAATGAGCCATAGTGCGGCCAGGGAGCCACAGCGCTGGCCGGTGCCCTCAATCAGCTCGCACTGACCTCCTCCTCCTGGGCTCGGTTTCCTGCGACCATCGTCTCGATCATTTCGGTCATCCAAGGCATCAGCCAAGTCGAAATCATCATCTGCAGTTGGCCCCAAAACATACAAGACAAAATGAATTTGCTAAGGTCCAGGTAGCTCTGTGGACATCTGCCCCAAAGAGAGCTCCCCCGTATCTTTCTCTATAGCCCTCCTTAGGTGGCAGCATTACCTGCAGGTTTTGCGGGCGCTCTGGTTGTTGCTGGCCTCTTGGTTGTGGTGGTGCCATGATCCCATCTTGCTAAAGTAGGGAAGGGGGACAACATAGGAACACATTTAGTAACAAAACACAGGAGCCACTTCATGGCTCAGGTGCATCACAGCATGAACATGGGACCCTTGTCTTAGTCCTCGAGACCCCTCCAAGGCCTCTGACAACCCCTTGGAGGATGACAGAGAAATGCAGAAGGTTGGAAGGAGATGAGTTCCACACACTTTTCTTCAGAGGATTGGTAGTACGGCAGACATGGTCCCACAGTCGACCTGGAGATTCATGGAACTGGGTGTTCAGCCAAGACCTGCTGGACCGTGGGTCCAGGGGGATCCAGAGCTTGAGCATGACCCTCAGGAGCTTTGGGCCTTGGTTTCCACCACTATCAACCCGGCACCATAACCACGAACCATGCTGCCCAGGGATGGACTGAGTTCACGTTCCCAGTAGAGGACAACAGCATCTTATAAACAGAAAGTAGTATAATATCAAGAAAATATTTTATGTAAGTGTGGTTGTTACTACTGTATTAGGTTTTCTAGCTCAACCAGACTCCTCTAAAAATATGGGACTTCTTTCAAAACAATTACATGGCATGCATCAGTTTTCCAATAGTTTCTTTTCTTGAGCTTCAAGAATGTGCCATAAATTATAGCTGGAGGTAGCAGAGGGAAAGGGAATATAAGGGAGAAGAAAGGCAAAGACAATGCTGTACAGCAAGCATTGCCATACAGCAATGTAAACAGCAAGCATTCAGAAAAGAAACAGCAGTATTTGCAGGAACAAAACCTCAGTGAGTTTTACAGATCAATAATGTAATCCTCAAATGGCCCAGGTAATTTACAACACATCACCTGTCTTTTCTGGATAAGGCCTTGGGGTTGTTTGTGGATCAAAGAAATGTAAGTCTGAATCTTCTGGAAAGAATATAAAGAACACAGTAAGACATGACCTGACATTTCTAGCTATGTCTAAAGGGAGACGTTACATCATGATAAAGGATCAACCCAGAAAGAACACAGAACCATCCTAACCAGACAACAGTGTCAAAACCCACCGAGAGAAAACTGGTAGAGCTAAAAGGAGAGAGCAACAAATCCACAGTGATAGATGGGACTTCAACGCTCTGCCGTCAGCAACTGAGAGAACTACTAGAATGAAAATCGGCAACAACAGAAAAGAAATGAATGACACAATCAACCAAACAAGACATAACCAGCATAATGGGATACTCTGCTCAGTTGCAGGAGAATAAGTATTTGTTTAAGCAGGCAGGGAACATTCCCCAACAGAGATTACGTCCTGGACCAGAAAGCCAACCTCAACAAATTTGAAATTATTGAAATGTGAGACAGGACTCCATCAAAAGTCTAGAGGAAAACACAGACCTCTTCAAGCTCAGCCGAAGCCACTTCTTTCTAGACACGTCTCTAGAGGCAAGGGCAACACACTCCCAAGAACTGAAAGCAGGGACTCAAACAGGTACTTGCATCCCAGTGTTCACAGCAGCACTCTCCACAATTGCCAAAAGGTAGAAACAACCCAAACGTCCATCACTAGATAAGCAAAATGTGGTACATGTACAATGCAATACCATGCAGCCATATAAAGGAATTAAATTCTGATTTATGCTACGACATGGATAAACTTTGCAAATATTATGCTAAGTGAAAGAAGCCAGATGCAAAGAGACAAATATTGTAGGATTCCACTTATATGAGGTTTGGGATGATGAGAAAATTCTGGAAATGAAGAGCAGTGATGGTTGCACAACACTGGGAATGTACTTAATGTCAAGGATTTTAAAATGCTTAAAATGGGGATCCCTGGGTGGCGCAGCGGTTTGGCGCCTGCCTTTGGCCCAGGGCGCGATCCTGGAGACCCGGGATCGAATCCCACGTCAGGCTCCCGGTGCATGGAGCCTGCTTCTCCCTCTGCCTGTGTCTCTGCCTCTCTCTCTCTATGACTATCGTAAAAATAAATAAAATAAAATAAAATAAAATAAAATAAAATAAAATAAAATAAAATAAAATAAAATAAAATAAAATAAAATAAAATAAAATAAAATAAAATAAAATAAAATGCTTAAAATGGTTACGTTCTACTACGAATGTTTACCACAATAAAAGGTATTCAATCTAGATGAAATATGCAATCTGAATATTCCTATAACCATGAACAATTTTTAATGTAAAAGCTCCCCCCCCCAAAAAAAAAGAAACTTCCAGGCTTTGATGGTTTCACTGGTGATTTCTACCAAACATTTAAAAAAGAATTCATACCAATTTTACATAATCTCCTCCAGAAGATAGGAGGGCTATTTCCCAACTTGTTTTATGAGGCCAATATTTACCTGGTAATAGAAAAAGACCATATGAAAAATAACTATAGATCAATTTCTCTTGCTAACTATTACATAAAATCCTCAACAAAATATTAGCAAACTGAATGGAATGCATAAAAAGAATTATACACCAGGGACGAATGGGACTTATTCTAGTTATGGGAGACTGGATCAACATCTGAATAACAATATAACCCACCATATCAGCAAGCTAAGGAAGAAAAACCATAATCATATGGACATGGAAAAATCCAATATTCACTTATGGAAAAAAATCAGTAAATTAGGAATAGAGGAGCACTACCTCAACTTCATAAAGAGCATCAAGAAAATACCCATAGCTATCATCAGACTTAATGGTGAAAAACTGAATCCTTTCTCCCTAAGATCAGGAACAGGGCACGGTCACTGATCTAATTGTAGTACTAGAAGTTCCAACATTGTGACAAAAAATTAAAGACATACAGAGTGCAAAGAAAGAAATAAACTTAACCCTATTTGCGGAGGCCATGATCATCTACATAGAAATTCCAAGGAATCTATAAAAAAAATTCCTAGAACCAGTAAGTGAGTTTCCTAGAACCAGTAATTTCAGCAGGGTCCCAGGATATAGGATTAACAGTATCAAAACCAATCATATATACTAGCAATAAACATATGGATTCTGAAAAAGCACATTACCATTTACAATTGTGCCAAAGACAATTATATATTTAAGTGTACACTTCAAAACTAGGTGCAGGACCTGCATGCTGAAAGTTACAAGATAATGAGAAAAATCAAGGAAGACCTATATAGAGACACATACTGTGTTCGTGGATCGGAAGACAGAGTTAAAGATGTCAACTCTCCCCAAATTGATATGTATGTTCGACACAAGTCCTACCAGAACCCCAGCCAGTTCCCTGACAAACTCAGAATATTTGTATGGAAAGGCACAGCCCCAGAGTAGCTAAAACAATCTTGGCAAGGAATAAAGTGGGAAGAATCACTCTACCCAGTAATAAGGCCACTGTGACTATAAAGTAAATCAAGACATCAGCAGAGGTGCAGACACACAGATCAATGTAGCCAAATGAAGAACCCAAAAAGATCTGCCCACATAAGCTCAAGAGATTTTCATAAAGGTGCAAAGGCAAGACGGAGGAAGGATGGTCTTTTCCTCAAATGATGAACATTCGCCTATCTCAACAAATGATGTCCATCGGAGGAGCCATAGGCCAGCCACAGGCAAAAATAATGAACCTCAACCTCAGCTTCATGTCTTATCCAAAAAATGAGTTTGAAACAGACGACTTTGTTTTAAATGTCCAGTGTAAATCTACAAAACTTTCAGAAAACAGAAGAAAATCCTCGGGACTGAGGGCTTGATGAAAAGCGCATAGACTAGCTAGCAAAGCTGTGATCCATAAAAGAAAAAAAAAAAGACAAACCAGACTTCATCAAAATTACATTTCCTTTTGTGAAAGACCGTGTTAAGAAGATGAAAGACAAGCTTACAAAGCAGGAGAAAATCCTTATGAAACACATATACGACTAAGGACTGCGTCCAGAACACATGGAGAGCTCTTAAAATTCAGAGTAAAAAATAAACAATCCAATTAGAAAACGGGCAAAAGACATGAAGAGACATCTCACTGAAAAGTTTAGACAGATGGCCAATAAGCACATACAATTAGGAAAATGCAAATTGAAATCACAATGAGATATCGCCACCTACCTATCAGAATGACTATACCGAGTACCAACAAGGATGCGGAGAAACTGGATCACTCATATACTGCTGGTGGGAACGTGAAATGGTGCAACCACTCTGGGAAATGTGTTGGCAACATTCTCTAAAAACTAAACCTACAATAATCACATGACCAAGCAATTACACTCCTGGGCATTTACCCCGGAGAATGGAAAACTCATGTTCATACAAAAACCTGTATATAAATGTTTAAAGCCCAAAACTGGAAACAACCCAGATGATCTTCATAAATAAACTGCGGTGTATCTACATCAGGGAATATTATTTGGCAAGGCAAAGCAACAAACTATTGATACTTGCAATGACTTGGCTAGAATCATACTGAGTGGAAAAGAAAACCCGTTTCCAAACATTACGTATTATAGGATCCCATTCACACAACATTTTCTAAATTCTACATATGGACTGTCATGGTGGATACACGAACCTACCCAGATGACAAAACCACACAGAAGTGAAAACACACACCTACGCGTGAGTAGAAGTTTAACCAGGAAAATCTGAATACAATCACTAGAGACTTATATCAATATCCATGTCCGGCTGATGACATTAGACTGTATTTTGCAGGGTGCTACCCATTGGGGGAAGTGGATACAGGGTACATGCAATTTCTCTGTAGTATTTCTTATGCCTTCACAAGTTCGCAATTACCTCAAAAAATTAGTCAGTTAAAATAATAAAGATTTATTTGAGCATCAAGGTCAATTTTGATACCAAAAAAAAAAAAAGGATCTGACATATAAATGGCTGGTCTTCAGGGTCCCAGGAATGTCTATTATTGACCTTAACTACGAAGGAGCAAAGCATGCAGAAGAAGGGCAGTAAGTCAGAACACCTAGGAATGAGGTGGTGTACACAAAGTTTCCAGACAACTAAAGCTGAGCCTTTCCTGGTCCCAGTGGCTTGTGGCACACTGACAATCTTACA